TGCGCTAACGCCACGCACCTTTTTCGGAAAAATTACCCCCCCCCCCTCCCCACGCGGAAATCCTGGATACGCCACTGATTCTGTATCCTGTATGTATAAGTTCATAGTAACTCAACTTGTTTTTGTAATTTTCATTGCCTATAAAAATCTTATATATAAAGCTGAATGTCTGTTTGTCTGTATGTATGTCTGTATGTCTGTGTGTACGTATGTTCCGAATAGAAAATTCCATTTCTGAACCGATCCGGACCTAACTTGGCACACATACACTTCGGGCCCCGGCGGGTGTCATAGGCTACTTTTCGTCATCGATCGATATCGATTTTATCGATTTTTTGCAAAATTTGGGCTACGGGGCGGGAGTTGGCACAGGGGGGTAATCGTACGTGCTGATTAGGAATATAATAATGACAGAGCCGGGCGGAGTTGGGTAAGTCAACTAGTAAATTGATAAAATAATAGCTTCAAATTTTGAGCTTGGGCGGACATTGAAAACTCATTGGATTGTTGCATAAGTTTAGATTAGCTTTGATTTTTTAATTCAACCATACATTTCCTGTATTCAATCTTGAAACTTCAAGGCACATTTCGATAAAACTAGGCGTGCTCCATGACAAAAGATGGCATGTAGAAGTGCGCAATATTTTCGAACCATTTTTAAGTGTGAAACCAAGATCTAAGAAGTTCTTGATGCTGAGAAGAACTGAGTAGAGAATTCGTTCAAAAACTCGGGAATTGCTCATATACATTCCGCATCAAACAATCATAAGCACCGCTGTATTCTTCCTCGATTGCACTTAGAAAAACGATTCAATAATTTTACAAAGCTATGCTGGGCTGTTTCCGCATGGATAATTGTATGTCACGGACTTTAATCAGTACACCGCTAATTATTAGCTCCCTACGAACTCCGGAAGATTTCAATTTTAGCCTGAAACACCCTATCAAGACAAACTCTGTGATCGACTCTAATTCTCGAAACTATTGTTTGTAGAAAGCTGAGAATTTACGCTTGTATTTCCAAAGGTCTGCAGTGTACATTCTATGCCGAGGCAACCCAGCTTTGCTTGGTAAAAACGTGGAAACTTCGTTCTTTGGATTTCTATCTAAAGAGAGAAGTTAGCAACGGTGTTTAAGAATGTTCGATTAGACGTAAACGAATGAGTTTTAGAACTATTTGTGGTAGGCCAGAAGGTCACAAATTATGAAAATTCGAATTTCTTAATACACTAAAAAGCTAAGTTTTTCTGCAAAAATTGTAGGAAAGACGTCCTGATCTCAAGCAAAAATGAGCGAAGCTCCGGCGATTGCCTCCGATTATGAGAAATTTTGGACCCATAGAATGCCAGCAGCGAGTATCTATTTCGGGGCGTCGAATTTCGATTCAAATATTTTCGAAAAACCTACTTAAACATGCTATAGGTAAACACCAATACAGTAGGTGTTCACCAATACAGTAGCTATGTTTTCAAAAGAATTCGTTCATTTGCACCTGAATTGTGGCCAAGCGAGATAAAGCAACGAAATTTCGATTTTGAGTGCAGCTGTGTGAGATGCTGGTGAAATTCTCACAGAGACAGAAGATTAATTTTACCACAGTTAGGAAGTACATGATGCAAGCTTTCCAAGCTTTTCTTCTTCGATATGCAGAATCCATATCGAAAAAGAAATGTTAAAGGAAAAAAGTCGTTCGGAAACTAGGCCTAGAAAAACTGACATTATTTTTGCAACAGCCTAAATAATGTGCAGTATGAAAGTCTCTAAGAAAAGTCGAGATTTTTGAGAGAAGTGTCAAACTAATTGCCGCATTGCCACCGAGCCTAGAACTCAGTACCTGCCGCGCTCCTATACACGTCAAAATTATTTTCAAGACGATTGGCCACTTACACGCGGGCTATTCGCAAATTTTCTTTTTTCGCTTTCGAAGGACTAGTTTCTGGCGAACGCAACTACTATGATGTGATAGCGTAAAGTCTCCTATACATTGTGTGCATAAGGACGTCGAGAACATTTACAGTATCTTTAGCTACGAAAAGAATTGTGAATACCAAAATTTTTGATTTTCTGGCTCTGCAGAAGCACTTGTTTGATAAATCCAGTTCTTAGAAAAACATATGGCATGCATTTTTGGCTAAGTAAAGTTTAGTTAGTAGAGGATTGGCAGCATTATGCTTAGCACAAATTTGGAATCAAAACCATCAGTAGTTTCGTGATTTAAAACACTTCAAATTCGGCTCCTAGACTTGTGCCCCACCCTATATTATCTACAAAATAATATTTTCAAGTTATTTGGGTCATTAGTCCGAAGCTAAGGAAGCAAAGATTGACCATACCGAATGAGAGCGTATGAATGAAGCGAATGGAAGAGCGCTGCGCTTTAATAAAGTCTCTTCTTTGAGTTCTTTTTAACCGTTCCAGCAGCTGGGTGATACTTATTCGCACACCTGCACCGATACCTGCAAGAGTACTAATTAGAATATGGATGAGTACAGATTTTTCCGCCAGTACTGGAGAAACGAAGAAAAAAGAGACAGAATTGAAGAGAAGCAGAAGCGAAACAGTATGTGCAGAAAAGAGAGATGAGCCATGCGCCGATGATTGCCGCGAAGATGCTTCGCTATTTCGCCAGCACTGCGTGCACTCTCGAAGTCTTGCGGAAATGCTGGCAGGTCGAAGTGGTGCGGAAAACGTTACGATGTTCTAGCATTTTCGCAGCGCTTTTGGAAAGTGCTGCAAAAGTTCGGGTTTTCTATCACTCTGACGTCAATCCTGCTTAAACCCGCATATTAGAGCGTGCACTTTCTCAGTGTTTAGGAGAGTGCTGCGGAACCGCTGCAAATTCTGCTCGTCCTGCGGAAGTTATGGTGAATGGTCTGGGCTGATCCTACGCGTGATTTTTTCATCGATTTCAATATAGTCTTGCACTAAGCTGTTTGATCCTTCAAAACGAGAAGCCGCAACAAGCCATGGTGGTGCACGGCTAGGCAAGAGAATTTCACATTGAATAAGGAAATATCTAAAAGGGTCTACGCGTATTTTTTCTATAAAACCTCTATACGCAATTTTGGTTGCGATCTCAACTCTCTTTAATCCTAATCTGTTCTCTCCTGATCACTTCGTTATAAGCTCACCTGTCTTCGCAGCCTGAGCGAATGACTTATATTGATAATTTATAATCAAAGTAGATTGCAGAGTCGCCTGACTTCCATGTCAGGAATGGAGATGAGTCATGTTAAAGAACGTAGCTTTGTGAAGTCAAAGACAAGTGAGCTCACTGCATGCCGATGCAGTTGAAGAGTCAAAAGTTTAAGCAAGCAAAGGTTCTTAAAAAAACAAAGATCTTCTCTGATCTCCTTTGTCAAGGGGAAATGCTCTTATTTAGTCGTACGATACCATTATTTTCTGCATTTTCAACTCCAGAGCACGCTCAAAATATCAAAGTACCTTAAAGGTAATAGAAGCAATGGAAACAAATCCTCGCAAGATTAGAATTAATTTGACAGTGCCCTCATCTTTGTCAAGCACTGATATAACCTACTTTCCTTTTTTTGAAGCCGACCTAATACACTTAGGCATATATGTGAAGGTAAAAGGCACGTAGATCTTAAGGCATCATATTCCAACATAGAGATCTAAACATTTGGAAAACATACAGCGAATTCGAATCTGTCGAGGACAGCTGTAAGTATTCACATGGCCACTTCATTATAACGTAAAGTATTTAAAAGAAATAGTGATAGTGCTTGAAGAATATGAGATGATCTTTGAGGAACTGATGTAGATTGTAAGAGAAATATTCTATATTACCTTACTTTTTTCCAATCACCTATAGCTTCTTTTTAGAATTTCTATTCGAAAAGAAGACTTGTATTGACTGTATTGTATTGGGGTTCTAAAACCTATCCAAATTGAAGACGAATTGATCAAAACAAATTTGCCAGCCGTTTTATTGGGAATGGAAGAAATGCAGATTAAGAACCAACAACCGTTTTTGACCAAAAAAGCAAATCCAAACTCTCGAAATTTCTTTGACGTCCCATCTCGTTGTCATCAGATCGTAAGCGTCCATTTTTTATCTTTTTTGAATCTAAGTAACTTAGAAGTAGCAGACATATCTTGAAGTTAAGACCCAAATAAGCTGTACATTGTAGAAAAAGAATACAATGGGTCTTAAAAATACAGAAAATCAATACAGCGCAGAGTATATAAAGACCACATAACTTATAGACTTCACTTTCATGATTTGCTCTAGTCTTCTTTCACAATGACAAATACCCACCTTATAGTAGTACAGTTATTATATATGTTTCTCGTGTAACTTCTGATGAGGCCTTAAAGCGAGGACAATTTTCTGTGGTTCACTTCCAGCAAGCTTTCGCTGAGTATCGGCTATCCAAATTTCATTAAAAAAAACATTCGGAGATCCCTAAAGGATCGGGCTTTTTCAGGCACTAATAAGTTGTCCCAAAAATAAACTTCTTTTCTAAATAAAAACTGTTTTTGTTATCCTGACAGACTCAGATACCATTAGATAGGGTTAAGCAAGCTCAGAGACGGAATGTGCCATTTTTGGACTATCTTTTCTTTCCCTTATGCACGAAATTCCGTGAAAGCATTTTTGAGTACTACTATGCATCTACTGTGTGACGACCAAGTTGGAGGTCTATAAGCAGACATATAGATTCGGCTCACTACACAGTCAGACTACTTCTTCCTAAACGGCTCGGGCCAAAAGGAGAAATCAAAAGAACTAAAATGACCGCAGACATGAATTGCACTCCGCATAGTTATCCTAAAATCTGATATATGCCCCCCCCCAGTTAAATCCATTCAAAGATAAGTCCAATACAGGTAAGACTGCTTCGGACTCTACTGACAAGATTTTAGAGTAGATATAATGAAAAAATGACTTATTTGTAGGGACTTGCAACTGAAGATGGACTTATCCTATTTAAAAAGTGAATTTTTAGGTCAGATTTAAGGATGTCTGTTTTTTTCAGCAGTGCGTGCACAAGCTTGAGTTTTATTATCCGTGGTACAGTTGCCTTTTGGCGGACAAAAAGATTAATATGTTAGTAAGAGAGCGAAGAGCTACATCGAAAATGAAATGCGAGTTTCTGCAGGGCATTCACACTAGTCGTTACACTTTGCCTTGTGGCTTCACTCAGTGCTGCCAAATTTGACATCAAGTTCGCTCAAAAAATGTTTCCTCTGGCTGCCGGCGCCTACTCGGATGACCCACTACAGTGCATAAAAAATCACTTCGAAGGCTATGATGGAACCAGAGGACAATTGGTAATGTCGTTTTTCATTATGTCTGCTCTTTTCTTTGAAAGAGGACATGACAGCACGAGCTGAGCATGATATTTATCTGCAAGTCCAGAAAGGTCTGCTTAAAGTTCAAATATCTTTGCTTGTGCAGCCGCTGCGTAAAATGTTTCTGTTTCGCAGATCTTTATAGCGTGCGTTGATTGCTCGAAAGAAAAAGTACGCTTCTTCTAGTTAGTAAATGGAGAGATCGATGCCCTAACAAGGAAAGCGCTTTCAGGCCCGCATACACGTACACCCCCGCGGGGAGGAGAATTTCCTGAAAGGGGAAGCGTTATCTCGCTACTACAAATATCTTTTGCCTTCTTTCTCTACTTGGCTTAGGAAGGTTCTCATGTACGTGCGTATAATGGATTCCAGCTTACTGTCATGGGGACCCCCTGGGATCGCGCAAAATAATGAAAAACTCTCATTTTCAGCGCCAATTCTTTTTCTGAAAACTCAATGAAAACGCTGTGAATTTGCAATGAGGGATATAATTGGCACTGCGAAACATGTTTTTGGCAGGAGAAGTAAAGTTCGAAATTTGTGAATTTTCGATAATCCCCAGCTTGCGAGCAGTGGTTCATAGAAGATTTTAAATTTCTGAGATTTCACTTGTTTTGTTTATAGTCGTGTTCAATAGTGCCATATTATATCCTCAGCAAAATGTTCCAACGGTTTCGTTGACTTTTTAAGAGGGTAAATGACTCTGAAATGAGAGGTGATCCTTTGGGGATTCCCTGCGGATCACACAAGATAGTGAAATTGTGTTCTTGTATGACATTACCATGGCAACTATTATGCGCAGGTATCAGGGTATAAGAGTTCATAACTAGATAGAGAAAGAAGAAGGAAGGTGTCTAAAGTAGCGAGATAAGTGGCGTCCCCTCTCAGATCCCTCCCCTTTCCACGGGGATGTACGTGCATATGGGCTTTAGTCAGAATGGCCGCTTGAAGTTAGATTTATGTTGATGAATTCAGATGAATGCGAATCTCAAAACTGCCATCTCAACAAAAAGCTGGCAGTGAAAAGATTCGATCCTAAAACCTTCTCTGCCATAAAGAACATACTCAAGGCACCATTAATCGTTGCTGCACCACCTGCAGTGCTGTACCAAATAGTGCATTGAGTTGGGCCTACAAGTTTTTCAGAAAAGTGTACGGTGGGCATACCCTCAATACATAGAGCCACGTACTCTGGTAACCTTCACTTTGAGGGCTATGAGAGGGCACAACCTTCACCTGGACAAAACAGAAGTCATCCGGGGCTTCGCCCTGGATGTTATTATCCTGACTATATCGGAACTTATGTTAATGAAGCAAATATAGGGGATAATATCTCTAGCTTATTTCAGCGAAACCGAGAATTTGCGTTTTCGTAGCCTTTTTAACGTTTAAAAAGAAGGTTTCTGTGAAATCCTTGCCAAAATTCAGGACAACATTTCTCAACTAATCTCTTATTTGACCAAAATAGAGTTTCAGAAGTTTAGGAAAGCTATTAAAGTTGAATAAAAACGAGAAACTGCGCTTGATTCTTGCGCAGAGAATCGCGCACGAATACGCTAGTCTCGTTAATGAGTGATTTTCAAAGCTTGGGACGTTGTCAGTTCTCCTCGTCGTGTCATGACGATCAGAATGATATATAATGTTGCAGGGTTCCCGCGGAGTCTACGACCAGAGCCAAATGCCCCGTCGGCTCTGGTCTGTCTCCACTGCTCGTCTGCGTCTCCGCGCGCTGCGCGCTACCTCGCTATCCCAAACGCGGGGCGCGGGGCATTTGGCTCTGGTACCCTTTTCTTCGCTGTTTCGAACCCAAATTTTGCAAGCTTTAAATCATTTTCAAGCTCTTAATCTCTATCTTCACGCTGACAACGTCCCAGAGCCACATTTTTGATTTGATCGAGAAATCCGGCAAAAACCTTGTTTTCGAAAATCACTTGTTCTTCTCTTAGTTTAACTCTTTTCACGCAGTTTTTGCGTGCATTCTGTAGATCTTGCTTCTGTTCATAATGCAGACAACCACCCAGCCCTTAACTCTCCTTATGGTGAAATTTTTTGCTAAAAATCGTAAAAAGTGCCTTTTCTTTACATTGTTCTGTTTCAGTGCTTGCGCATCGATTTTTTTCCAGCTTGATTGCTCAGAACAATAAGCGCAACAATCCAGACAAAGTCCCTGGAAACAGGAACGTCAATGCGGGGGTAAAAATTTAAAGGACGCATCAAAAATCGGAACCCCGTGTTGCGAATTGCTGGTCCTGGAGCGAAAATTGCACTTTGAAAAGCCGCCATGAAAGATTTCAAACCTCAGTGCAGCGTTTGTATTCGGTTTTGAGCAGTTTCTTTTGCTTTTTATATCTGTTTTACGCCATTTTCTCTTCTTTGATCTTCCTCAAACAACGTTCACTATTTTGTCACTTTTGGCGACATGTCTCTAGACTATCGAAGGTATGACGGTGGGTAACGATTGCGGCTTTATTCAGCATTCATGACTGACTTCAGTGACATACTTCTAAGCTCAAATGGTCACTTCGAGTTTTTCTTTTGAATTTAGAGTTCTACAACTTATCAGATGATATGATATAGGTATTTCTGCCCAGCAGTGAGGTAAATATTCATAAAATCAGTGATGCATAGTGCTTGCAGTACATGCAGGAAGCAAAATGAGTCTGCGTTTGTAGATGAAATTTGAAAGGTTGTAACGCTAGTACGTTTGTCACAACTGATCAATAAGATTATCCTCAAAAACTCTATTTTACATTTTGAAAGGCCATGAATATTTGTAACGAGATACCTTTCAGTTCTTTTACGAAAATCGTGCTCCATGCGATGGTTTTGAGAATGACTGCTATGGATACCTAGCCACACTAACGCGCCAGATGGCAATAGTTATTAGTTTCAGGTCAGCTCTACTTTCAGTTTACAGCAGTCGTGTTCATAATAATTTTTGGCTAGACAACGAACTAAAAAGCTTCGCTCTGAAGCTAACATGTGCAACGCTTATATCAACGTCTATCTTCGGGGAATAAAGCTATCCGCCCACTTTTTTCAGTGAACACAAAAGAAGACTGTAATGTCGTCAGCAAGATGAGCCAAGCATCTCAGTGGAAGCTGCTCGTGTTTAATGTTGCATACCATAGGATATGCTTTTGCGGACGGATGCGTTATAATTCACAATTCATTGCTAATTTGAATCTAGCTCTGCTAGTTGCGGAATGTCTTTCTGCCAGTTTTTTGAGGGGTATGACTGCGGTCGGCCAAAACCCTCCAGTATGGTTTTAGCGTTCAAGTAATTTAAAAATGAAGGTGACTATCATAAGCGGTTAGCAGTTGAATAGTTCGCTAGTAATGATCATTGTTCTGCTTGAGCGCTTGACTAACTTCATCGTGCACGCACTGAAGCTGTTACCAACATTTCATATCACTGCCCTACGTCGCAATATGACACCTGGTGGTCTATTCGGAGTGATGCTAAAAAGGACGAGAAAAGAAGCACATGTTGGATATGGGTAGTGCGACCAATGTTATGCTCAGTTTCCTGGGCTCCTGGGTTTGAAAAGAACTACCTGGTATTGACCAGATCCGTTGGGCCAATAATCGAGCAACCTCGCAGCACATATACACATTCCTGCGTAGTATTTGAGGGAAGGCCGCTGTAAATTATCGACAGGACCGTCTGCTTTGAAGATGAAAATCTCAGCTGCGAGTGCAGAATCTGAGCTGTTGCTCAGAGTCTAGCCACAGGATCTTGATTAAAGCCCTAAAATTACTATCAACGCAGATCCGCATAAGTCTAGATTTGATCAATGCTGCTTCTAAACAAACAGTTTGATTTGCTTCCGGCAGCTTACAATACAAATACGTCTAAAATGCCACACGTCTCCAAACAGACCGATGAATGATTTCACTCATAACGCTTGTGGACTTCTTGTGTGATCCTTTTCAAAATAGAGAAGTTTTGTTATAACAAGTGGTAGCAGACGTGCGGATCTTGCGAGACTATTTAAATTGAAGAAATTGCTTCGGATCAGTGTCCCTACTCAGATAATCGCCGGGGGCGAACGGTCCGCAAACTCGCGCTTTTCTGCAAGCGGTCAGCAGAATTTCGGGGCGTGGCCAAACCCTCAGCAAGCGGTACTTCCTTTACTGTCTAATGTTCTGCCAGCGGGCAGCAACACAGAGGCCCGTAGTAAAGCTCGGTCATGGGATATTATCTCCCCTGAGACCTTCATGTGAGGTTCTGTCAGTAAAATGACGACCGCCCATTTCCCCATGTTATAGGGATGCAACGTCACCTGAGAGGTGAGCCTCAGGTGAAGTTCGGCAGGGAGATGATCTCCCTGCCGGGTCATGGGAGATGATATGAGCGATGATGTCCAGAAATAGTGTGCTAAAGAGGAAACGCAGAGAAAATCTTCGTAAGTTGCTCCTGAGTAACTTACGATACACAGCAATTTGCCTAACACTGCGGACAAAATCGGCGCAAAATTGCACAACCGCGCCCGAAAAGGAGAGGATCGATGAACAGCTGATTTTGGCGAGGAAGACAGAAAAAAAACAAATTCTTCTCTTTTGTAAACTTTACTGGTTTTTTTTGAAGCTGTCCAAAACGAGGACTCATTTGTTCATTTCATTAAATTCACGTTGCAACCATTTCGTTTTGTCGCAAAATTTTCGTAACGAAATGTTTTTTTGTTTTATCTTTGCGTTTGCTAGGCGAAATCCTTGATAGCGGTCATCATCGATTGGATAGTGGCCGCTATCAAAGATTGCCCGGCGATGCAGCAAAAGTTGTGTCGCTAGGCGGAGTCGAACCACGGCCGCGCGCGTGTAATTCCAATGGCTTACCCATTTAACCAAATCGAATCAAGTAGCCGTTTTTTCGAGAACGCACTTGGTTATAATGTCCAGGAAGCGATCTGCATCCAGATCAATAGCTCGCCGGATGCTGGACTGCGGCGCCAAGATATCAACTCCGGTCCGCCTCAGGGGAGATGCCCTGACGGTAGTTTACTACGGGCCAGAATTTTCTGCAGGCGCTCGTCAAATAATCTCTTTCAGCGAGCGCTCCTCAAATTTTCAGCTGGCGCTCGGACGGTTTTTAAGCAGTTTTGGGCGTACGCCGAGCAAAGGTGAGACTCTACATGACAGAGGTGTCATCGGTGGTTTAATTACTCAAGTTTGAGGTACTTTCTCTAAGCGAAAAGTACCTGGGGGCTGCGCTGTCCTCCACAAAGGACCGTGCGGCCCTCGAAAATTCTGCATATTCTTGCGGAAAGTCCGCGAGAATGCGGCCACTGCCGCAGCTATTCTATAAGAACACCGCAATTGTTCTCCAACATTAGTCTAAGACTTCGCTAAAATTCTTCCAAATATCTGCAAACGGACCGCAAAAAATCAGCGAACTATTTTTGCCCGCCCGCCCATAAATCGCATGGCCGCCTGCCCCCGGCGATTATCTGAGTAGTTGGGGAACTAATGCCATGTTATGTTAAGATTGCAAAGCTTTGTATAAAATCAGGGATGCCAGTCTGGATGCTACGATGAGCGCGGCAACCCGAGTCGCGCCGACCGCACTCAGGTTGGAATCCCCTGCAGCTCAACAGTTATTATTACAGAGGCACCAATACTGGAAGTCAACTCAGGACAGAATTAATCACCAGCGGTCATATGGTAATTTGTATGAAATGATTGGTGCGTAGATCAGCTGTTGCTTAAGGTCCCCATGGGGTCAGGTAAAGTGTCTTGGTACTTCTACAATGCTTTCTCAAAAGTGTGGGGGGATGACGCAAAAGGCGTAAAAGGCCTAGAACGTGCCTTCAAGGACCAGATCAAAAAACACCCCGACTACGAAATATGGGTATGAATTGAATGTACAAAGATCGTTTTCATGTGACCAGAAACTTTAGGTGACCGGCCATTCGCTCGGAGGTGCCATGGCGTCTCTGGCAGCGTATCACATCGCCATAACATACAAAATCCCTAAGCGGATAAAGCTGGTAACATTCGGAGAGCCAAGAACAGGCGATGCTGAATATGCTATAGACTTCAATAAAAAGGTAGGAATTTACATAATCATTTATACAGCGTGCTCGAATACCCGCTCTGCCCTGCCCTGTCAGTACACTATGTCAGTATACTAAAAACTACCATTCCCCTACTTTATATAATTCTTTTTTGTACTTGTTCCTCTTCCGTATGCCAGTATTCACTTCTCCCACTACGTTTTCGTATTCATTTTATTTTTCGTGCTTAATTATCCACTGTGCCTGATGGTGGAATTAGGCACAATTAGCATGAGTTCCGATGAAAGTGTGTTTTCAAGTCTCTACTTTACGCAGACTTTTTGAAATTCTCTCAAGCTTTTTTTGAAAACTTGTACATTTTCAAATTTGTATGATGTTTGTATCATATCGTTTTGATATGGCTCAACGTGAGATAATTCTAAAAAATCTAGAAACTACGAACAGAGAAAATCTTAACAAACTGTCGTGAGGTCTGAAATTTTGGTCATTATTTTTTCGCAGATCGACTACGCATTCCGGGTCGTCAACGGAAGAGATCCAGTGCCGCATGTACCACCTTTTAAACCCTACAGTCACCATAAGTATGAAGTGAGCAATTTAAAATTTTCTTCAAGGATAGAGAGAGTTCGATAAGTTTTAGGACGCGTAAATCGTTTATCATAGTTTTGCGTTTATCGTAGTGCTGTTGACAAAAATGATGTAAATTTTCTGAGGGCTGAAAGCTTAAAATGGTTCAAATACAAATACACGCATCTAAGCTACCGCTCAGCACACCTTAGTGCCTATTTCGAAACTGCTTGTAAAGAAATGAGGTTGGAACAATTCGGTTTCATTCCGTCGAAAACAAAGGAAATACAAGTAAAAACAGTTTTTTTCACTTATGTAAGAAGAGAACAACGTAAATTTTCACAATACCACAACAAAGCAAAGACTCAAAATATGTTAGAATCACTGTTTGGTGGAACCAAGCAAGCACTACAAGATAATCACAGCTCCGCGTAGAACGTGCCCATGTAGAGTTCGAAGCCAAAACTTGCAAAGAATTTTAAAAAACAACCACATTCCATGGATCTTAACTTGTTCATGCATAAGCCTTCCCATGCACACAAATATACAGTTGCTGTATTTTATCTGCTGCTAGAATTCAAAAATGAAGTAAGTCAACCAAACGTCTCCATCTTTGGGTTTATTGTGGTAAATAAGATATTTACAGACGACTGAAGAACATAAGGGGAACAATTTTTCATGTCACTGTGCGGGAGAGTGCCAATTTTCTGCCTACATTTTTTTTTGAAATTATTAGCCATGAAAACTTGGAGCAAGTGCTTGTAGTGCGTAAGAGTTATGTAGGATTTTTGTTTAGGAGATTCGACCCCCTTAGAACGCTTAGATGTTCTAGATCTAAGCTTCAAAGTTTACGCATCACGATTTTTGCGTCTTTGTTGTCATTTTGTGGAGCTTGCTTGGCTCTATCGTGCCTTTCGTATAATTTTAGGGAGTGCTTTTTTTGCCTTTCAATTTTTTAGGGCCTCGTTTCTTATCCACGTTATTAGAAACATATTATTTTGGAGCAAGAGGACTTAGAGAACTTACTTCTTATCCAAACATTTGTTGCAATCTAGAACATTTTTAAACTGGCGGTCATTATTTACAAACTTATTAAGGTATGGTTCAAGGATGGCATGGATCCTCTTACGAAACCCATAGTGTGCATTGGTAAAGAGACTTTAAAACTTTTTTCCGCTTTTGAATACTTTACTTGAAAAACAAGCCAATCTCACAGGTGAAGGTGAATCCGACAAGAAATGCAGCAACTCACTTTGGATAAAAACTTTCGTATCACATCATACAGAGTACTTTGGAAAAACCGTCAGCGAATATGGAAAGAGATTCTGTTGGGCATAGGGTGTAATCATTGCCAAATACATTTTTGCATCTATCTGTGTTGCTACCACACACTTCAACAGCATGTTTCACTCACGAGGCACCGCACCTTGTGCTTTAACTAGCCCCATGAGCGTACAAGAGTTGCGCCACAAAATTTTCTTGTGGCTGTCTCACCTGACCAGAGAGAGCAAAAAATCGCACAAAGCAAAAATCTTCAGACTTCTAAACGAGCAGTCGCAGTACATCAAGCTCTTACGAGAAGCCCGCACACTTGTTGGCTTTCCTTCCTGCACACCCAGATGAATCTCTCTAAAGGCGCTGTTCGAATCAGATGGTTTAGAGGAAAGCTTCAATAATCTACTTGTCCAAGCTACAAGTCCCCACTACAGCTGTAAGGGCGAAGGCATAGAATTCTTGTCGCTACGCAATCTTACACCGCAAAGACTCTTCATCATTGGTCGTAAAGGCGGTTTGCTTGGGCCAGACTTCATGGTATCTTGGATCTGTAGACATCTGCCAAATCGCCACTGTAAACATCTGCCAAATCGCCATAGCGCTTTGACGGTTTTGCGAGAAGTATGCCGTAGGCCTAAATATCCATTATTTCCAACATGTAAGGAGGCTGTAGAAGTGTGCACGGCCAAAGAGAGCAATTCGAGTCGCGACAGTAAGCATCTGAAGCTGCTCGCAGGAATGGCTACATTATTGTGAAGTCCCGGCAGCGAACATTTACTGGACGCGCAAACAGTAACTCATGCGATGTAAGAACAGTGACAAAAAGATCGCTTTCTGTATGTCTTTTTTGTTCGACAGTTTCAGTAAAGCAAACAGATGCATAGTAGCACATCTTGAAAATGAGGTAATGCTATTCAACATTTTCAGTAGTAACATCAGAAAGTTGTTTGAAACAGATTGCATGACGTAGAATATACCAAAGAAATGCATGTATGCCCTTACGGAAATAAGAAATAAGGCGATTGAGCTGAGGGTATCGCTTATCACTTGGAACGCATGAGTTGTGGCACGACGTACATAGGAGAAACTAGAAGAATTCTAAGTGTTAGAGTGGAAAAATACCTGGTTAACAAAAGACGAGAAAACCTGTCATCACCATTAGGCGAGCATAAGACTGAGGTACATAATGATGCCGATTTTTCAAACATGAAATGTACAATTTTTGTGCACGAGGTCAAGATTTCCGCGAAAATTACTAGAGGCCGCAGTGGATATAGCGGAGTATGGACAACAGAAATGGCCGAGTGAAACAAACAGCCGATCTCTTGCCTCTTTCAAACTGCTCCAATCCCAACCAGGCCAAAATTGGCATGGCGGGAGCCCCGCATCGCTGGGGTTTCGCCGTCTCGATTATGGCCTGCTTCTCTGCTCCCTCTTCAATCCTTTTGCTCTTTACGACAGCGCGCATAAGCAGCGCGGACCGCTAGCGCTGCGAGTGCGCAAATTTGCGCTGAGGGTTCTGCCTGGTCCCGATCGGAGCAAACTGTATGTCACTATGCGACCTACAGCAGCGCAGTATGTGTTGCTCTTGACTCCCTGCTCTTGACTGACCAGCAATGATGTCCGTCAGATTCGTGCGGAATACTGACCGGTGGAGTAGAAGTTGGTGAATCCGTTTTAAAATGTTGGACTGTTTCTCAACACATTGCGCCTCGACGAGGTTTGAACGGCGGAAGTCTGATGAGGCGTTTGGGTTGGGCCACACGGCAAAGTTTCAAAGATTTACTTTTCAAGCTTCGCTAGACACTCGTCTAAAGCTTCACTTACTCTATCACGGAAAAATATTGATGTTTGCCTTTGGCTGCGCTCACACTGATCTGGAAGTCTGGGAAACAGTTCCAGCACAGCGATCAATTCGAGCGCTGTGCTGGAAATGTTTCTGTCTGTATAGTGTCTGGAACTGTACTGTTTCCAAACTTCGGAATTAGTTTGAAATCAGCCTTTTCCAGCTGAGATTTTGTCTTGTTTCTCACCTGAGAGTGCAATCGGCATGTTTTTCTCTTTATAATTACAATTTGACAGTGCCCTCATCTCCGTCAAGTCCTGAGATGTAATTTACATTCCCTTTTTTGATCGATCTATTAAAGGAACCTTGTTTAGTCGAAATGGCCTTTTTAAATGTAATGTATACCATAGCGGAGAGCATAAAACGCTAAATCAAATGCCTTCCTAATTTGCGGAACGTTTGTGGACGAAGATTTATAAGATTTTATTTGAGCAGAAAATTACATGTGCAAGTAGGACAAAAGTAGTCGTAAGTTTTTTCTAGAGCTTCAATGGAGCAGTGATGAGTATCAGAGCACCACATTCAATAAATACCCTTGGATAAGAAATCATACATGGTTTCCTAGCACTTTAATGGAGCACCAATGATTACTAAAGGACCTTATTTGATACTTACTTCCAGATAAATCATATATCACACGTGGTTGCTTTGTACGAGGGCTATCAAGATTTTAACAACTCATTTTATCCCCAGTGCACATTCACTTCTTTGTTCCCGAAACGCTCATAACTCCTCGTCTACAAATGTCCCGCAGATAAGGAAGGCAGTTTTGAAATCAGCGTTTTATGTTCTCCATTATGGTACACATTTCATCTAAAAAGGCCACTTCGATTAAACAAGGTTCCCTTGTAAGTAAATTCTTAGACATACATGTGAAGGTTAAGGCACGCAGACCTCAAGACATCCTATTCCAACGTATGAAAACTAACCATCCAAAAAAACATACAGCGAGTTTGAAATTCTGTCGAAGATAGCTGTAAGATTTCACATTGCCACTTCATTATAATGTAGAGTACTAATAAGAAATCAGGTGGTACACTAATTACCTTCGTCGTCTAAAATTCTTGCTGAGAGTATTCTTCTACCTCGTCGTGCTAGGGCGCGATATTAGTTTCAGCTAACGTGACATCCTCGATATCTATTTCGGTTTTTCTTGGTAACCATGCAAGCGAATACATCGCCGGATAGTTTCCACAAATTTAAAGCTCTTACGGAAGTAAATAAATAGAATATCCAGTCTTTTTTGCTGCAGAGTTTGGCATCAAAACACGATAGTATATTGGGAGCTGTAGTGGCAGCACGGCTCTTGAATTCTGAAACTGTCCTTTTTGGCTTCCGCGCAGCCCTTCAAAATCTTGGCAAGTCCAATTGTCATGGCAAGCAAGTAGTCGTAAAAAAATTCGCCACACGTCTTCGCGGTATTGCTTCTTCCACTTGGCGAATGTGCTGGTGGAGAAAGTTTTTGGCTACAACACACGAAAATTTTTTGCAATGGTTAGGAAAAAAATATTGAATCTTGAGTGAAGGTATGCATAGGCTGCATACTGAAAATTTAGTCAGAATTGCGCGAAGAAGGCGGAAAATCATCGTCTGAAAAAGTAAGAATTTGTTTCGTGCATCAAATTTAGGTAGATGATCATATAGAAGACGTGTGGAAAGAAAATAGCCTTAAACTCAATGCTTGTTCCGCTTTTATAAACACAAAGGTAACATCCGCAAACTTTTAATTTCCGTCTTCGCAAGAAAACTTCTTGGCAAACGCAATATCAGCGATATAGCGCAACGCTTCCTCCACATTATGTGCGTTGAAGTGCTGTATGATATAATATAAGTAATACAAACTAATACAAAAGTATTAGTTTGATATTTCCAATTCTTAGAAAAACATGTGGCAGCCATTTTCAGCTAAGTGAAGTGTATTTTGTAGAGGATGATCGCAGCCTCATGTGGCATGAGATTGGAGGCAAAAACGATTGTAGTGTTTTAATTTACAATACTGCAAATTCGGCTCCCAGACTTTTGTCCATCTTGAGTTGTCCTCATCCGCTCTTCGACGATAAAAGCGACAAAAAAGATCTTAGGGTGAAGATTTCCTGAATTTTTTTTGCCTTTGGTATTTTGGGCATCCAAAATTATTAAATCTTGTGATGTTTTCCCTTAAAAAGGCTCTTCTCTATACAGTTCTGTATTCAAGTGCATGGTTCATAAGAAATCATGAATTTTCTGCTGTTAAAACTAATAGATATTGAGGATATCCCTGAGGCTAATATCGCACCCTAGCGCGATGAGGTGGAAAATTCCTACTCGGCAAGAGTTCTAGACGACGAAGCGTGATTGGTATACCATCAGCGGCTTTTTTAGCTGCTTCGGCGGCTGGCTTCGGCAGCAGTCGCCTGCCCGGATTTCAGTTGCACGCCTCCCAGACTCTTCTCTTATCTGCGAAACACGAGGTAGAGTAATTCATCGGTAGGTTGTTCGTTGATGCAGGCTCCTAGATCGCAGAAATGTAGGTATGAAAATGTATGCAGAGCTCATTCGATAAAACAAAGCAGACTCCACCAGACTTTATTTGAATTCTGCGGTAAAAAGTTCAATCCACGTGCGGCTTGAAAGCAAAACCAAAGAAATTGAAAACCAAATTGAATTTGCATTCAAAAAATCCTTTTCATTTCCAACTTAGTCACGCATATATCCCCTACATCGGACATTTAAACGTAGCAGTATCTTTTCCATTGTAGGAAGTCAAGAAAATGAAAGTTGTCATGTTCTAAAAATTGCAATGGTGGGTTACTCTTACATAAGTCATTCTATACTACAAGGCTCCGAAAGTGCTTTCATAGAATTTCTGCAAGGGCTAGCTTTCGAGGAATATCGATATTAGCACGATAGACCGAAAAAAAGCGGTTTTCGTCTTTTTGGCCCATTTTCGAAGTTCAATTTTCGGCCATTGAAAAAAGCTGCAAGTGTGCATATAGATTTCTGATGTAGACAATGCATGCGTGACCGAGTTGGAGGTCCGCAGATTTATTTTTTGGATGGAGATCTGATTTTTGGAAGTTGATCACATGGATTTTACTTTCAAGCTGTACATGAATAAATCTTTTAAATGTAGTCTCTTAAGGCTTGCTTTGCATCATGGAATAATCTTCTTCCCACATTTTGATACCTACGCTGCTGTGATAGCGTAAGGAACTTGCATTAATCTTCGGACAACCTAATTTAAAGAGGAACATAGAAAGAAGACAGAAAACGTGGACAATCCAGGAAAGTACACCCTTATTGGTATGAGTAGAGCATTCTGTCGTCGTTGAGCATCTTTTACACAGTCGCCGTAAATTTTGCTTCTTCCGCAGTTTAAATTTATTAGGTTGTCCCGAAAGTTTTGTCCGTTTCTTTACTCTCTCACTAAGGCCCGTATGCACATACATCCCCGCGGGGAGGGGATGTGCGTTTTACTATTGAAATGATCCCCGCTGGGGCTCCCCTTCCCTCTCCAGGCGAACCCTCTTATGCCCGACGGCAAAGGGGTCCTTGCGGGGAGGGGAAGCGAACCCCTTTATGCACAAGAGGGAATCAAGCGGGTAAATCACCTTGCTTCCAAATTTTTTATGGAACTCTTTTTATTTTCATCTTTTGACTGCAATTCATCTTCATCTCCTCAATTTCAGTAATTTAGGCATTGCGGAATGCGCGTATGCCGTGACTACGCTCTGCACACCAAAAACGGGTTTACCTACTCTTACTATGTTCCTGCTTCCATGGATGCTACTCACTTTCGCTCAAGCTGCCCATCCCAGCGTAAAGATGTGAAACAATAGAAGTGAAGGTGTCTCTGCAGGAGAATGGGTAAAAGACGTTATGATGCCGAAAGGGGGGAGGGGTGCGTTCGAACAGTCAAAGCAGTATTTTTACAAATAACAGAAGTGTAAATCGTACCAGCTCTCCATGAAGGCTGTAGACATTTGCGATATATCGTTTATTACCCCAGGGGAATGATCCCCAGTGGTCATCCCTGCTATGCACGAGGGGAAGGGTGGGGAGGGGATCGCTCCCCCGGGGATCTCTTCAGTAATTAGGCAAATCTGCTGGTTTTTGGTTTTTTTCGAAGTAATTTATGTTAGGATAGCAAGATAAGGGCAAATTACATATGATATGATAGTTATAATATGTTTGGTCAGCCTACATGGATAAAACTATCTTGTCATATGAAAACTGCGGAAATCTCGGGAATAAACAGCAGAAACTCCTCCAGATGTTCAAAAGCAGGTATATGCTCGAGTTTCTTTGCGAGAAGAGAAAATAGAAGAGAGAGACAAAAATTGCAAGTTACAAGTTGCTGAGAGATGAATCCGGCTTTCAAAGAAAATTTTTCATCAATTTGAACGAAATGCTGTGTAATAAATGAATTAAAGCAGAATGCTAATCTGGCATGACTTATACCGTCGAACCCCTACTCCGTTGCAGGAGATGTCGATTCCCTCCCCTGCGTTTTCGAGTACATGCATAAGGGGAGGGGAAGGGAGAGGATCCTCACTGGGGTTCGTTCGATCGATACCTCCGAAACCAAGGGCTGAATTTGAGGCAGCGAAACATACCACAAACTCTCAAACGTTGGAAACCGTGGAAACTACAAGATGCTGCGAGGTACATCGTTACAACATGATTGCAAGATAATCTTATTGAACTGCTGAATGAACTCACCCTACTTCAAAAATCAACATCATTACTATTGACAACACGTAAGAGTATAACGAAGCTTGAGAACCAGTAATATGGAAAAGAAAAGCGAAGGAGAAAGAGATACAGCGGGACGGATGGAAGTAAAAGAGTGAGAAAGGGACAAAGGCACGCGAATTGCGTATTTTTGCACATTTTGTTCCAAAGGCCACTCTGGTACACAAGAATTGACCAAGAATAACTTTTTTCGGCGAGTTCTTGGCCGTGAGGTAGAAGCATCCCCGCTGTAAGTGCAGAGGAGGAGTCAGTCCCCTCCCCTCTGTCATAGCGGGATTCAGTGGAGGAGATCGCTCCCCTGGGGATCCAGCTCCCCTCTCCTCCCCAGCGGGGATGTACGTGCACACGGGCCTAAAACTCACAGAGCACAAATCCATGGACGATTTAGGTGCCATTTGATTCAGATTTTTATCCTTTTTCTTACAGTCACATTTGCTCCCTGATTTACTCCTTCTTTGCAATATTATATCCATGGCTTTTTGAGCAGCTCAGCAGTAACGTTACAACTTTCTTGAATTTTGAGAATTTTTATTCTGATGTTTTTAAAGAGCACTGGTAACTTTTATGTAGAATCTTTGGCTACATTTTACCCATTTTAGATTATATGGATCACGTTCACCAATCCTTTATAATTATCTTATATACAAAGCTGAATGTCTGTTTGTATGTTTGTCTGTCCGTCTGTATATCTGTCTGTCTGTACGTATGTTCCGAATAAAAATTCCATTTCTGATCCGAACCGGACCAAACTTTGCACACATGCACTTCGGGGCCGGGCGGGTGTCATAGGCTACTTTTCGTCATCGATCGATATCGATTTATCGACTTTTATCGATGTTTTTGATAGTTTGAGCTATGGGGCTGGGAGTTGGCACAGGGGGGTAATCGAGCATGCTGATTACGAATACAATATTAGTTTTTGGAATTATCCATTATTTTTTTTTGATTTTGTCGATTTTTTTGCAAAGTTTGAGCTACGGGGCTGGGAGTTGGCACAGGGGGTAATCGAGCATGCTGATTACGAAAACAATATTATAAATTTTATCGATTTTATCAATTTTTTGCAAAGTTTGAACTACGGGGCTGGGAATTGGCACAGGGGGGGGGGTAATCGAGCATGCTGACTACGAATACAATATTTGAAATTATCCATTAATTTCATTGGTTTTTTCGATTATTTGCAAAGTTTGAGCTACGAGGCTGGGGATTCGCACAGGGATAAGTGAGCATGCTGATAACTAACTCAGCGGGCATAGGGAGTTGGAGTTGATATGTAGAAGTGGACACAGGGAAAGTTATACAGGGATAGAGATCGGAGCTTTATCATAGTGATTTGACAGGGCTGGGCGGAGCCGGGCAAGCCAGCTAGTTTATTCAATAAAAACCGCTGCTTTTTGATCAGCTTCCCACGTAAAAGTACCGAAAATTCCATAAGCTGCTTTCTCAAGGCAAATCAAACTTGGTTGTGTTGCATAAAAAATATTCATCACGAATCATGTTTCAATTTACAGAAGTTTCAGAAGCTTCCATGTATTTGCTGCAGTTGCGTTTCATGACTTTGCCAAAAAACGAGATCCCCGAAGAAATATTTTTTAAGCTAGAAACAGCAGATTACGAGAATTCAAAAATATCACCTAGTAGTCCGAGAAATGCTCTATTCGATCCATACTTGAACCTTTCCGAAACTTTGGAATGAAATTTTTAAATATTAACCTAACTTTGAGCAGATAAAATTAGCGGGTGGAGAATTTTGGCAATTATCAAAAAAGCATACAAGATTGCTGATCGAATGTATCCATAAGAAAGAGAAGGAAAGATGCATCGAATGCCTGCTGAAACTCATTCGGGTCTCTATTTTATAAAACCACGAAACGGACAAAACTTTTGGGACAACCTAATATATGGATTGCTCTTTCCATCTAAAAGGTGGTTTCGCTGCTCATCCCAGTGGCCCAAGTGTTCTCCTTTTTCTTAGCGGTTAATACAGCTGACAACCAGCATAGATCTCGTTCTTAGCTTACATCTACTTTCAATAATTAGTTGACCTTTCTGGCAGATGCAACCGTTACGATACCATTGCCTAAATACATGATCCGCTTTTACAGTTCTTCCGACTGCCGGCAATCTTAATCCGCTTTCGTGCAAAATGTGAAAAGATGTGGTATGATGCTGTGAGCTCAAACGGGGTATAATTTATGCCCAAAAATTGGTCTAATGCAGATTAAAGCAGATGAGTTCAAAGCAAGGCGCTTACAACAAAGCCGATACATGAGTTTAGAAACGCAAGGTGCTTCTTTTTTGATAATAACGTCTTACTCTTATCTTCTTACTAGCTGGCTTACCCGGCTCCGCCCGGCCCTGTCTATTATATTCGTAATCAGCATGCTCGATTACCCCCCCTGTGCCAACTCCCAGCCCCGTAGCTCAAACTTTGCAAAAAATCGAAAAAATCGATATCGATCGATGACGAAAAGTAGCCTATGACACCCGCCGGGGCCCATAGTGTATGTGTGCCAAGTTTGGTCCGGATCGGTTCAGAAATGGAATTTTCTATTCGGAACATACGTACAGACAGACATACAGACAGACAGACAAACAGTCATTCAGCTTTATATATAAGATTCTCGCAAACAGTTACTACATTCGTAATCTGCATGCTCAGTTACCCCCTGTGCCAACTCCCAACCCCGTAGCCCAAACTTTGCGAAAAGTCGATAAAATCGATAAAAGTAGTGGATAATTCTAAAAACTAATATTGTATTCGGCACCTCCATGCTCACTTACCTTCCTGCGCCAACTCCCAGCCCCGCATGTCAAACTTTACAAAACAGTCGATAAATTGGATAAAAGCAAGGGAGAATTTCAGAAACTAATATTGCATTCGTAATCATGCTCAGTTACCCCACTGTGCCAACTCCCAGCCCCGTGGCTCAAACTTTGCAAAAAAATCGATGAAATCGATAAAACTAATGGACGATTTCAAAAACTAATATTGTATTCGTGATCAGCATGCTCGATTACTCCCTGTGCCAACTCCTAGCTCCGTAGGTGAACTCAGCAAAAAATCGATAAAATCGGTATCGATCGATGACGAAAAGTAGCCTATGACACCCCCCTCCCCGAAGTGTATGTGTGCCAAGTTTGGTCCGGATCGTTTCAGAAATAAAATTTTCTATTCGGAACATACGTACATACAGACATACAGACATACATACATACAGACGGGGGACACGCGGAGGGCGACAATCGGCGAAAAATGGAGGCTGTGTATCATCCGTCTCAATGACTTTCACGGATTTCTACTTGTGGCATTGAGTAATGTATCTGCCCCCACCCCCCACCGCCGTAGTCCCCCGGGTGTCACTTTGACATCGGAGAGTTTTTGATAGGCACAGAATTGGGGATTGTCGCCTTCCGCACCACACCTCCTGCTTATACCAACAAGATTCCCAATATTAAGTCGTCCATTATTATTTCAATTTTTGATGCAGCTGCTTTACGACAAAGTAATTTTCTACGGAAGAGCCCATTCTGCTTTGAAAGCCTGTTCCTTATTTTCAAAGCAGACCTGATCATA